CCGCAACGAAGTTGTTGACTGAACATTCCAGTTCCGTTATAGTTATATCCGATAATTAATTTTTCAACACAACCTTGCTAATTGAAAATATCTTTAAAAATTTAGAGATTGCGGTTTAGATTCCAATTTGCCCCAGACATACGCAATCATTTCGCCTTTTACGATTGACCATAAACCGCTGCAGAATCCGAGAGTCCAGCCAGTTTTTCTTCATTGGAAGTGGATTCGTGTATTAGAACACCTGCGTTTCGTTGGGTAATCAATTTGTAAAAATTTACTGGCCGTGGGAATTCGTTCTACCGGGAAACTTATTGAACTTCTGAAAATAAATTATTGTTTGGTGGTTTTGACATTGAACTCCTGGCCGGAAAATGGAATTTTCTAATGACAATTTTTTCTTTCCACTAATAATAGTTATTATGCTATACTATACTACTCTAGGCTACTCGGGAGCTATTTGGTTAATGGATATGGAGAATGACAAACAGAAAATCTATACAGTAAGTAGATCAAGCATAGTTGTTATAAAAAAATACAAGACTTTTCCTGCCAACGGGAGATGTCATGAAAATTCTATGCAAGCCTAATTTTATGTTCATTGAACATTCACTCAAAAATAAACGGCTGGACAGTTGCTTTCGAGCAAAAGGAAAATTTCGCCTAACTTTCAAGCTCGATATTTCTGGAGTCAAAATATCGACCTCTGGTTTCCATGTAATATTTTTTTCACAAAAATTCAATCTGTCAGCCCATGAAAACCGGAGGATATTTGGTCTGGTTTCAAAAATATTGAGCTTGAAAGTTAGGCGAAAAAATTTCCTTGCTCGAAAGCAATTGTCCAGAGTTTATTTAGAACTAGCTGACCCGGCGAACTTCGTACCGCCTCTGAATTATTAAATGCCTATTAAATGTTGTGTTAACGTGTTGTGTATCTATTAGCGGAATTAAATTCAGTTTTTTTCGATGGTAAATTTGGCTTTGGTTGAAGAATAATGTTTACTCTCTAGATCAGAAGTCACCTAAAATTAAAATTTTACACCATCCCTTTCAAGGCAGCTTGTGGGCATTATTCTTGTAAAGTGTACCACCAAATAAATAAACTCAGGCACAGGAATGTTCAAAGAATGTAAAGAAAACAAAAAAAATCTACAGCGCAGCTCTTTTTCACTCTATCTGCACTGCACTACTCCATCTGTTCTACTCTATCTGCACTATTCTATCTGATCTACTCTTTCTGCACCACTCTATCTGATCAGAATAGTGGAATAGTTCTGTTCTAAATATCTCCAGTGACTCCAGTTCCTGAGCAGCATGGTTCTACTGTATCTGCAATGAAATTACCGCGCATCGGCGAGCTTCGTTCTAGGTATCATATATGGCGCCGTATACAAAATGGTTGTGGCGGACTCATAACCTGGCTCTCTGCCACTCGACACCAGCCGGATGGAGCACTCCGAACAGTCGGCACGGAACACGGCTGTCAAGGGATGCCTGAGAGGCGAAACGGAACTTAGCCACAGAACGTCAATGGTCAAGCGTCAAGAAATGACATGGAGATCAGTTCGCGCTCTTTCGGAATGAACCAACAACAAAATAAAATACACAATTGAATCATTGTAATTCCATTTATTTTTGGACATTTTTATTGTGAAGAACAATTAAAAATAAAGTGCTTTCCTCAAATTGTTTATGTGCAAAGTGTGTGACAATAAAATCCACATAGTTTGCAATGAAAATGTGACGGTAAACTCGTATCGGTTATAAGAGATGGCGCCCTATGCGGGCTTATTAATTTTTTTTTCATAAATAAGTAAAATAGGTAATTTTTTTGTTCGTTTTTTTTTTTTTTTTTGATTTTTTCGATTTATTATGTTAGGATGGACAAAGACAAATCCAATAAAGCAAAAAATCATCAAAATCAGTCCAGCCGTTCTCGAGTTATAAGTGCTTACACCATCACAACTGTGTTTTATATATACAGGGTGAATTCGAAAGTGAGGCTTTTTTTTAACAGGATGTATATCCGACCAAAATAAGTTGTTTGGCAGAAAATTGTTTATATAAAAAATTTAAAATAACGGAGGTACAGCTATTTTGAGGTTAGAGGAGTCTTCCACTATAAATCACTTTGTTTACATTTTCTCAAAAAAAAGCCGCAAAAAAGCTATTATTAGTCCAGCATAATGAGTCTTATTCCATAATAGGTACCTACTCACAGTTGCATTATTACATCAAATTTCATTTTCAACCTATCAATTTTCGTTTTAAAATGGAACAGACAAAATTTAGGAGGGAAATGAAGCATCAGACAAATGGGAATAATTTTGAACAATTTTTGTGAGAATTTCATACATCTGTCAAAACTGGTATTTCAACAATAAATTGACATGTTTTGATTGTTGATTTGAACCAATCAGATTGTAATTACGCGATTATTTGCACTAGTGCAAATTATCAGATAATTGCATACTAACTGGTGCGAAAACTGGTGTTTTGACATTTTTTGACAAAAAATTTAAATTTTTGATTTATGAAATGCAACTCGTGCAATGGAAATATATTTATAATTTTCGACAAATTTGCACTCATGCGTTTCCAACTGAAAAAGGCACTCGTGCACTACGTGCACTCGTGCTCTTTTTTAACTAAAAATGCATTCGAGCAAATTTCCCAAAAATTATCAATATTTTCCATTTTTAATGCACATAACCCTAAAATACCTGTAATTCCGTTATCTTAAATTTTTCATGTAAACATTTTTTTGCCAAACAACTTATTTTGGCGAGATATATATCCTGTTAAAAAAAAAACTCACTTTCAGATTCACCCTGTATAGATGCCGTTGTCCCTTATAGGAGTATCTACTCAAAACTCATGGATTTGCATGCCTTATTAATATTGTTATTATTATTGTTACGACCTGATTTTGGTGACAACGTCGTCCAAATGTTGGTCTTTTATGCCGGGATAGAAAGGGATAAAAAGTCCAATTTAAAACAAAATCAAATCAGGATTTAATAATAGAAATAAAAAAGGGAAGTTTAACAAAAAATAGCATAATGAATAAATAAATAAAATAAACAAAATGAAATTAAGAAAATCGAGAATTAAAAGTTAAATCAGATTGCGATGTAAACTAAACAATTGAATTTTGGATATTACTTACATTACTTGAAATGACATAACTTGTCACGACACATTTATACTTTTCTTGAAGTCTGAGAGGGTACTGTCCCTGCCTTCATTCGGTTCTTCAACTTTAAGTCTTTGATAAGTCAGCAAAATCGATTCTAGTGAATCATTGAACTATTGTACTGCTGACGAATCGAAGTTAGAATTATAATTAGGGATTAAAAACCGAAATTGTTCAACTTCACAAAAGGAAACGACTTACAGTTTTTTGAAAAGTCAGTGAACTGAACTTTGAATGGAAATTTAAAATATTGCGTTTTGAAGAGAAATATTTTTTTTTGTTAATTATAAAAATTCTGTAGCGTGACATTACCCTCTGGCGTAGAAGAGCTGGACCCCAGCTCTATAAGTACATCGAAGTATCACAGGGAATAAGGAGCGCTTTGATTGAAGGTTCCAAAGTCACATTAGTCAAAGTATAGTAACCAAAATCAAAATGCAAGAAGAAAAAAAAGGAAAAAGGTGAAAATAAGAAGGTAATGGTTATACAAAAAAAATTAAAAAAATAAAGTTCAAAACAACCTTGTATACGTCGTTTTCTCGAGTCTCTGAGCCTTGACACGGCCCTGTCGGTCTACTCCTTTTCGCTGTTGCTGTCTGTGTTTGCGATTCGTACGTCAACTGGGCCAAACTCTGTAACGGATAGAGATCGTTATTCCTATCGCTATGGCACTTGCTGTCTTCTTCTCTCTTCTCGAAATTAATAGAGAGCAGACGTTAATAGAGATAGAGAAAATATCTCTTTTCGTTACAGAGTCCCAGCGGTGAGTTGGTTCGGGTCGCTCTGATGGCTTGCGAATGGTGCGACATCTATGGGTTCGCCCAAGCCTCTTACTTGGCCTGGCGGATTCGGTGATCTGGCTCGATTTGCTCCGGTACTTGGTTATGGTATGGTACTGACAACCTCGGTTTTGGATACAAAAATGTAAACAAACTCTCATAGTTTAGTTTGAGTTGCAAGCTTAACAGTTTTTCGGTTGCAGGACGTGCCGTCGATTTTTTTTTAGTTGAATGCTGAGAAAACACCCTTTGTGAAAATATTTTTGTGCGGAAATAGTGTTTCACGGGTAACGTGGTACCTGGCTTAACTGTGCTGATATGGGTGTTCCGGTGCTCAAGTCGTTTTCTCGTTTTGCCTTGCCATTGTATCGGTTTGGGTTCCATGTAGGAGTTTGTGATCTGTTTGATAATTGGTTTGATAGTTTGATCGGATTCTCATGGATTTTGGGCGGCATGATAGGTAAGTTGACTAAGCATCCCTGGAATTTTCGACAGCTGTTGATTTTGTGCTTCTATTTTCAGGTGCTATTTCTAGTTCGTTCGGATATTTCCAGTGAGAATCGACTCTTTTTGTTGAATTAATTTGGGATTGGGTGTGGTTGTGTTTAATTCTACAATTTCCTCGCAGGATTTAGGGACATTGTCAAGTTATTTCTGTTTTCTTTTAGGGTTATTATGACAACATTGAGAGATTTGGCAGCGCCTACAAGTGACGAGAAGATAAGCTATGTAAAATAGAAAAACTATTAGATAAAAGTAAATTATTCCGAATAAAACTTCGTGGATAATGGTTGATCCCAAGGATAATTCTGTAACTTCTCCATTTACGTAAGGAATGTAGGCCTAGCGGTACGCAAAACAAAACGGCATTTCGAGTTACAAGCAAGCCACTTGGCACAGTTGTTGTTGGCACCATATTGGACGATTTTGCCCGTAGTGATTTTTGATTCGTTCCTTAGGGGGTGGTTTTTGGGGGTAAACTACCCCCAAAATCAGAATGTCGCTATTAAACGATCGATTTTGACTATCTAAGACTCGTTTTCGCACAATTTGAGGTCGCTGCGATCGAATTTTGAGTTGTTTTCACTGTCCGATGCGAAATTTTTCATATCTAGGGGAATTAATGTATTTTTTGAACCAAAATGTGAAATGATTTCGAGCAGGATAAGATTACTGAAATAGTATATTTCTTGAGAAAAATAAAACGAAGCATAAATATTTTGAAGTCCGTGCAGATTACCGTCCATATCCTCTTGAATTTCTTCCAGAATTGTAGGCAAGGTTACACTGTAAGAAAAGAAAGAAATTAGTATTACAAGGGTTTTTTCGTTCTTATTTTTCTTGCGCTAAAGAAAATATTACTACAACGTACGTCTGGTTCGAGCAGGAGCCTTTGCATGACTTGCATGCAAGTGTGCAGGGAAGTCCCAGGCGACGGCCTTTGCACCTCTGGGTGCCGCAGTTGGTTTTGCAACCACACCGGTCCAGCGCCGTGCACTCTTTCCAAATAGCTGGGTCGTCGGTCCATACCGGGATCCACTTGTCCTGTGGAAACCAGCCCCACGGATCCGAAGAGGAAGGTTTGGTGCCGTCGGCCGCCCTTCCCCAGACCGGTCCAGCCTGGTAAGCAGCGCGCAGGATGTGCTTCACTAGGGTGCCTTTAGTTGGAGGGATAGCTTGAACTGGACGGCTTAACGTGGCAAACATGTACTGGCGGGCACCGACCATTGAAATATTTCCTCGTCTTTAACACCGTACATTCTAACGATGAACTTTTCGACGGCACTTATTAAATCATCGGGCAATGGAAGATCAGACGGGTGGCGCAGCTTATAGAAGGCGTCCGTCTCTTCATCTGTTAGCCAGGCAGAAAAGGTAGTTCGCTTCCTACGTGGTGCAAAATAGCTGACAGTGTCACACCCAGTCAGACAGTGAAAGAAGGGGAGAGCCGTATCCTTTTTCTCTCCTAGGGTAGATGCTACATCGTGTGCAGCCACGTAGCGACGATCCCTGCCAACTCCGAATAAGACTCACAGTTCCTTCAATCCTTTTTTTTTGAAGTTCATGAAAAAAGAAAACCGCCAGCACAAGTACGTCCGTGTCACTACTGCGGATAACAATTCGTCGAGCACTACCACACGCAATGTCCATTGCATGAAGAATAATTCTTCAATCGGCCTCCTCCAAGCCTTCAAGAGAGATGTCACGGAGAAGAGAGTCCAAGGAAACAGAAGACTTAATTTCTGAACCTACATTGGGTAACATTTGTAACAATATGAATGTCTTGCAGAAGGGACAAGAGCTCAACCGAAAGGAAAGCAAAAAGCTCTGTCTTATTTTCATCGTTTCTCAGGTAAACTTTCCAATTCAAAGGCAGTTTTCCTGAAAAGAAAAAAGTTTTTTTTTTTTGATTGCAGTAGGCGAAAAATGTAAACTGTTGTTTGTATTTATTTTTACCTTTCGTGGGAAGATCCTGGCGCCGAAGTCCGACTCCGCGGCTCTCCCTAGTAAACCCTTTCAAGCAGGATGTCGAGTACATGTCCCAGACAACGTCTACGCGCTGCACCGCTAGCTTATTTGCAAGGTTTCTAATGTGGCTAGCTAAGTAAGCTGCATAATCCTTGAAAGAGTTAGCACAGGACCGTCAAGGATCAAGGCGTCACTTGAATTAGGAGGTGAATTGCGCAGAGATTTGATCAATGTTTCCAATATGTCCGCAAGGTGATACTTTACCCCGCTTCGCATAAAACCATTTAAGCTTATAGAACGAGGGCAGCTTTGGTTTTCCAACTCAAAAAATGTCTCCAAATTTAGGTGCCGGGCAGTGCAGACAATGAAAAGTCGCGAATAAGGCTGCACGTCAGATTTGAGTGTTTTGAGCAGGAGTGCACCTTGATCCTTCTTTTTTTTTTCCCGAATATAACAAAGTTGCACTTTTTAAGTGTCACTTTTTCAGTCACCCTCCCTTACACATCGAGTGGAAAACCTATTTCTTCCAAAAATCAACCAAATATTCGTGCTCAGCGATACCGAATAAGTCGAAAACGACATCAAACTCAAAATTTCCAAAAAAAAAAGTTTTTTAAAGGGGTTCTGACCCCTCAGTTTTTCTCGAAATGAGATTTTGATATTCTTTTTCGATTCAGTAGTAGATATCGACTCTAGCATCGCCATAATTGTATTGTTTTTAATTTTGCACATTTTGGTTCAAAAAATATATTAATTCCCCTAGATATGAAAAATTTCGCATCGGATAGTGAAAACAACTCATAATTCGATTTCAGCGACCCCAAATTGTGCGAAAACAAGTCTTAGATAGTCAAAATCGATCGTTAATAGCGACATTCTGATTTTGGGGGTAGTTTACCCCCCAAAAACCACCCCCTAAGGGACGAATCAAAAATCACTACGGGTAAAATCTTTCAGTATGGTCCCAACATCAACTGTGCCAAGTGCTTGCAACTCGAAATGCCGTTTTGTTTTGAAATTTTTAGTGTACCGCTAGGACTAATGGTCCCAGCGGTTACAATAAGGCGGTTTTACCTAAAAATTAGGAAACCTAGGAATATGGACAGAAGCGTATTCCAAATCAGGAACAGTGTGTAACCATGAATTGTTCGAAACAATATTATTTAAAATGTCTTTTATTGCGTTATCATTTGATGTTAGATTTAGGTGAGGAATATGCAGTGTCCAATTTGTGTTGAGGCACTTAGTTATATTTTGGTACTTTGGTCCAAAATGCTCCTGCTGTCACTTCTACATGAATCATTTTTTCATGTGTGCTTCCTATAGCGAAGCTTGGCGTTGCCAAACTGGAAAAGGGGGGATGGGGCTTTTACCTATTTTAAATATCTAAAAGAACTAGTTCTAACGGACTAAATATCATTGTCACAGCGGTGTGATAGGTACTTATTTCTACTATAATATAAATAATAACACATGGTGTTCACAAGTTCAGGGATTGCTTCTGGTGTCCAAGAATTATATTATGGTGAAATTAGGCTCACATGAACGATATACCTTTTCTAGAGTTCCTACTTGTTCCCATTTGTATTTCGTAGCCGACTTCTGACACCTTTTATTATGTAAAACGGGCCAAACCAACGAAGTAGGAGCTTTTCACTCCTGTCCACTTTCCTTATAGGGGTAAAAACTTTCACATGATCTCCTTCTTGATAGTCGACATGCCCTTGTTTTTCGTCATATCTTACTTAGTTTGTCTATCTTTTGTTTACAATGTACATTTTCCACAGCCTCATTCCTTATTGTTAATGCCTGATCCCTTATTTGGTTACTGTCTATGGAATTTGGAGATGGAGGTAAATTTGTAAATTTGCTTCTGTGGGTTATATTGGCTCACTTCCCTATACTAGCCTAAAATGGGAGAATTTCGTTGTATGTATTGGCTTTCAAGTCGTATCTGGTCTTCATTCGGTCACTGGCCAGCTGGATATGCTCCCGAGCAAAATCATGTATGCCCAGAAGTCTTGCCCTTACCTTGTCGGCATAATTTCGAATTTCTTTTTGTTCTTCTTCAGGTATTCCAAACATCGACTTGTATTGTAAGTGAAAGTGACGTTGCTAAGGTACTCATCCCAATTTGTTTGATTTGTGTTTGTATACATAGAAAGCATGTTTGCGAGTATCTTGTTGAACCTTTCTGTAAGTCCATTCGTGCTTGGATGGTGCGCTGTCGTGAATTGTTTGGTAGTCCTATCTTTTTTATTAGCTCTGTCATAAGTTACGATTGGAGGACTTGCCCCCTGTCAGTGAAAATGTACTTTGGAGCTCCGGTCTTGTAATGATACTTGTTCAGGATAAACTTTGATACTGGCCCTGCCTTTACACTGGGTAAGGCTTTCGTTTCTGCCCATCTTGTTGCATTATCTGTTGCCACAAATATTAACGTATTATTACCTTTGGTTTTGCGGAATGGGCCTAGTAAGTCAATTCCAATCCTTCCAAATGGAGTTTCCACTGGTATCGGTTGTAAAAGTCCGATGGGCTTCCGATTCTCTTGCCCTTTCCTGGCCTGACAATCTGGACCAGCCTTAATAAACTTTTCAACATCTTTCAGCAGATTGTCCCAGTTATAACGAACTCTGATCTTGTTTATCGTCTTTGTTATACATGGTGTCCATCTATAAACTGACACATTTTACCTGCTCATAAGTCGAGAACAAAAAAATATATCGATATGCGGTTTCCACAGGACTTCATCAGTTTTTATAAAGTTTTTTTTCGCAGTGTTGCCAAGTTTCAAAATTTACCTGAAGTAGGAGGAAAAAAATTGATGATTTTCAAAGGCCGATTTCGTAAAAGTTTTAAATGGAACACCCTGTACTTTTTAATTTTACATGAAAGCCTGTTAACTCTCCTTTTTGAGAATCCATAAATTGTTTTTCATTGCTTTCATTTTTTTTACCCTGTGACGTGCTTTCGGTTTTTAATAGGCTTGAATTAGTTGCGGTTAATTGTCTAATCGGTAATCTCGGGCGCCACCCTCAGTATTAAAGTGGCTGAGGGTCCACTTGCTCCAGGTAGCTTATTACAGTGGAGAAAATAACCCAGAGGTCAAACAAGAAGCTTTTAGAAAGTGATCTGAAAATAGTGCTAAAAAGGGAACGGGATAAAAGGTCATTGAATAAAACAGACAAGTTTTTAGTGCAACTTAAATTCCCATGTATTAACAACAGAGTACCCTCAAAACCCTAATTTCCTATATAAACCCAAAAAGGCATTGAATAAATTGCAGAGAGAAAGAGAGAGAGGTGAGAGACGTGAGAGTGTGTGCGAGTACTTGAGTGAAAATGACGAATTAACGGTAGCGGTCAAGCTAGGACGGTAACGGTATCAATTAAAAATCGGCCTTACACACCAACCCCCGTAAATAGCATTTGTTTCGGCCTGCAGAAAACCTAATGTGGTTAGAAGGGATGGAAAAAGGAGAGTTGCATGGAAGACAGCCAAAAACAACCCGAGGTAAAATGTAGGTAGGATGGAAAAGGGAGAGTTGCATGGAAGACAGCCAAAAACAACCCGAGGTAAAATGTAGGTAGGATGGAAGAGGAAGACGGCCTGGAAGACAGCCAAGACCGCCCGAGGAAGGGTGTTAAAAACCATTAAGAACCCTGCAGGTATAACTATCCGTATCTACGGTATTGAACGCGATGCAGCGGGGACTGCTATGGCGGCGGTACTGATGGTGTGACTCGGAATCAGCCAGAGCCCCACCATCCTTACCTTGGTACGCGCGGTCGGTGTGGAGACGAACGGAGGTCTCCCCGAATCGACGGTCTCCTGCCGTATTTATGGTCGCGGTCGATGCCCCACTCGGGCGATTGAGAAGAGGGAATCGGATCGGCGCGCGATGTTGCCGCCGATTCTTTTATTTCCCAAGAAAAATATAGTAACTCTGTTACACACCCCCCTCTCTTTAAAAAAAAACATTTTATAAAATGTTTTTCTCAAACCCTAGAAAAAATAAAAATTAGAAAGTTTATAAAAAAAATTTCACAAACCCTAAATGAAGCCGAGAAAAAAAAAGAAAATACAAAGTTTATCCATATCTACCTATAAAATCAATCAAAAAAAAAAAAAATTAGGAAAACAAATCGATATTCCATGTCGTGGCTTCCGGGTATGCTGGATTTAAGCATCGGTGTGATGCCTACTCACGCCTGCCGTAAGGGCAGCCGCAGTGACGACAAGGTGCGTAACGCAGCGTATGGCTGCAACATTGGGTCCCCCTGGAAATTCTGCTTCGCTCGGAGTTTGCGGAAGCAGATGTCGTAGCAAGTTTGGTTTCCCTTTTTCTACTGGTGTTGCGAGTTTTGGTTGCCGGGAACTTATCATCCCGACAGTCACACTCGCGGGAGAGTGGGCCTACTTTGCCACAGTGAGAGCAAAACTTCACGGGTTTGTCCGTACAAGCGTTTCTTCGGTGTCCCGGGTACCCACATCGCCAGCAGAGACCCATATGAACAGGTAAGAATAAGGGGTCGTTACGGTGGGTGGAGCCGGTGGTTGCGGGTTTGGGTGGCTGGGAAGAAATTCCCCGATCCATGGTTTCTTGGGTGCCTGAGGATCGTTTCCGTGTCTGGATGCTCTCGGGCTCGTTGTTGGTTTCTCGGTTCTGGGAGTCTTGGCTAGTCGGTCGGGGACTACCGGAATTCTCCGCTTCTGCCAGGATAGATTCCAGCTCTTCCATAGCGGTTACTATCTCTAGTACTGGACTCTCCATTTCTGACAACAAAGAAAAAACTCGGTTTAGTAAGTATTATGACAACGGTTCGGTGTAAAAACTAATGCTCCGCAAGCATAGCCGTAACTATAATTTATTTACATAAAAAAAAATGAAGAAAAATAAATTAAATGCTGTACACCAAAACTAAATTATCACCCAATTATCACAGAGACATTACAAATCACAACAACAAAAAAAAATTCTAGAAAAGAAAGTCGATATTCGGACGGCGAATGGTGGGGATTTCTCCGCTAATCTGGACGGACCGAGGGAATAGTGGCATATATATATCTCCCCCCCTCGGTGATAAACCTCTTCCGGAATCGCTTGTTGGCGGGGAGATTATCCGGTCGGTACCGCTGGAGCGCGGATACCAGGTCTGGTGGCCATTCCCTCGAGTCCGGAAAGTGGATCAGGCCGGCGGCGATTTCGGCTTCTCCTATATACTGAGGGGATTTCTGCTGCTCGGTAGGACCAAAGCAGGCAGTCCCTGTTTCCTCGGCTGTCGAGTCGGTGGTGGCCATGGGTATTATTCGGTACGGCTCGACAGTGGTAGCTTCCGTCGGAAAATTCCACCACTCATCCAGGGACGCGGTGTTGAGCAGCGGTAGTCCAGTGACTGCTTCGCCGGAGTCAATCGTCTGAGTGTTTAGGAGTTCATTTAGAACCCCCAGGACATCGAATTCCTCCTCAATGGTCGCCGTTGGTTCATTGCGGGACTCTTTTTCAGTAATGGAGGGCGGCAGTGTCGAGGAGGGTTGAGGAATGGAGTAGAAGGTAGTTTGGGTTGCGGTACTGGTGGCGTTGGTATCGGTAGCATGTTTGGGGAGTGATGGTTTCCGGATGTTTTGTAAGGGGGTAGGACGGCAGGGTCGGCGTGATGTAATTTCAATGGAATCTGGAGAAGCGGTTATGGAACTACAGGGAGGCGGATCGATACGATGGCTTTTCTTTGGAGGGCCAGCGAACCGATTTTTGATTTGTTGCGCCACCTTCTTTAGGTCTCTCAACCGTTGTGTTGCCTTTCGCTGTATTTTGAGTGCGTCGGCCCGTGGCACTAAGAGGTCGGCGGGCGGTTTCGTGCCACGTGGCGGCGCTTCGGATTTGAGGTTCTTTGGCATTGTTCTGAAAAAAAAAAAAAAAGAAGGCATATGTTAATCGCGCGGCGCGGGTTTGAGATCTTTTAGATGAATATGTCGGAGTGTTTTACCGGTGGCGGTTTTTAAATCGTATACGACCGGGGACACAACTTTTATTATTGTGTAAGGACCGGAATATTTAGGAGCCAATTTTGCAGCGAAACCTTTGGCTGCGTTGGATAGTGGATTTTCGCGTTTCCACACCCGATCGCCCACGTGACATTTCCATTCTCGGCGGCGCAAATTATAGTGGTGACTCTGAACCGTAAATGCTCGGCCTAGATTTAGTCGGACTAGGTCATAAACCTCTTTGAGTCTCTGAAGTCGGTCGGTGTGTTCGGTGAACTCGGGATCTTCTTCTTCAATATCCTCAGCTGTAGGTCTCAACAATTGGCGATACAAAGCTTTAGGCGGGTCCAACTCTCGTCCAAAATTCAGGAAGGCGGGCGAAAAACCAGTAGAATCATGGCGAGAGCTGTTTATGGCAAATATTAGCTCCGGTAAATGTACATCCCATTTTCGGTGATCGGCTTCGCAAAATTGAGCGACCATAGTTTTGACGGTTTTGTTAGTTCGTTCCACGGGGTTAGCTTGTGGGGTATACGGAGGGGTTAACCGGTGGTTTATTCCCATATCTTCCAATAACTCCCTAAAAATATGTCCGGTGAACTGTGTTCCGTTATCGGAAATTAAAGTGCGGGGACATCCGAATTTGGTGATGATATCTTCATATAGTGCCTGAGTAACGGCTCTTGCGGTCGCCTTCCGGATGGCTCGGCACTGTGTCCATTTAGTAAATCGATCTTGGAACACGACAATGTACGAATTTCCTTTCGAGGAACGTGGTAGCGGTCCAACCAAATCGGTACTTACTGTTTCCCATGGCTGGTTGTTTTTGGAAGGATGCATTTTCCCCGGTATGGCTTGTTGTGACGATTTGAATCGTTGGCATGATGAACAGCGTCGAACATATCGGGTAATATCCCTGAACATACCGGGCCAGTAATATTTGCGAGCTATCCGGGAAATCGTTTTTGCAATACCTAGATGTCCTGCGGTAGGCAAATCGTGATTTTCTGCCAGTACAGTGTCACGTGCCGATTTTGGCACACACAATTTCCATGGGTCGGTCAAGTTATCTTCGGTAGGGTCGGACATATCCCAGAAATGACGGTATAAACGTCCATCTTTGACACAGTAGTCGGGCAAGGCAATAGGACTGTTCTCCACGGCCGATTTCTTGGATTGATACCAAGAGCATGGTATGAACTCTTCCAGAGTTTCAATCGGCGTAGGATTGCTTTGTTCGGTTTCGGTATCTACGGGATCTCTCGACAGGGCGTCAGCCACTCGATTTAGAACTCCCTTTCGGTATTTGATCTCGAAATCGAATTGTTGGAGGTACATACTCCATCTGGCTAATCTTCCGGACGGGCTCTTGATCGAGTGAAGCCATCGTAGTGATTGGTGATCAGTGACTACGGTGAAACGGTATCCTTCTAAGTATGGCCTAAGTTTTTCTATGCCCCAGACAATAGCTAGACATTCTTTTTCTGTGACCGAGAATTTCGTTTCGTTGCCGTTGAGACTCCGACTTGCATATGCAATTATCTGATCCCCCACTGGACCGTGTTGAATCAAGGCTGCACCTAACCCATTATCAGAGGCGTCTGTTTGCAGTATAAACGGTCTGGTGAAATCTGGACATGCCAGAACTGGAGCTTCGGTCAAGCAAGTTTTCAACTGTTGGAAGGCAGTTTGGTGTTCCTCGGTCCATATCCATCGTACTCCCTTTTTTAGAAGGCGGTTTAGTGGCGCAGCTATCTTTGAAAAATTCTGAACGAACCGGCGGTACCAAGAGGCAACACCCAAAAAGCGTCTTAGGCTTCGTAAGTTGATGGGCGGTGGAAGTTGATGGATAGCTGCAACTTTTTCGGGATCGGTACGGATGCCCTCGGAAGTGACCAAGTGTCCTAGATATCGGAGGGATTTTCGGCCGAACTGACATTTCTCAGGGTTCAGTCTTAGATTTGCCCCTCGGAGACGGTTGAACACTTCTTGTAAATTGCTCAGATGCTCTTCAAAAGTTTCTCCTAATACAATGATATCGTCGAGATAGGCAAAGCAATACGGATCCAACTCCGGGCCTATGATGTTATCCATCAGGCGTTGGAAGGTGGCTGGCGCGGAATGAAGGCCAAAAGGCATAACTCGGAATTGGAATAGCCCTAGACCAGGCACAGTGAATGCGGTTATCGGTTTGCTCTGTTCGGTCAACGGTACCTGCCAGTAACCCTGTTTAAGATCTATGCTGGAAATATATCGTGCCCGTCGGAGCTTGTCCAAGATGGCATTGATATATGGCAATGGGTACGCATCCTTTTTGGAAATAGCATTAATTTTTTGAAAATCAATGCAGAACCGGTATTTGCCATCTTTTTTCCGGACAATGACCACCGGTGAGCTCCACGGACTGTTGGATGGCTCGATTATTCCATCATCCAGCATCTTTTTAACTTCTTCGTTAATTATTGCTTGCATCTTCGGATTTTGTGGACGGTATCGCTGTTTAATAGGTTCGGCGTTTAACAGATGAATCGGGTGTTCAATTAACGGTGTAGTGCCGCGGATTTTTTTAAATTTCGGTATCTCGAGGCTCAAAAACTCATGAAGGAGCCGATTCTCTTGTTCAGTTAACTCTAGTTTCGGCAATGGCTCTATCTGGCCAATCGGGCTACACATGTTTGGATTGTCTAACAACTGGTTATCCAAATAAACTAAGTTTGAGTGAAGATCAAGACGGAATGCGTGTTGTCCCAGAATGTCCATTCCCAAGACAACCTCTGAGGTTAGGTGTGGGAAATAACTGATGTTCTCGGTCAGTGTAACATTACCGACATGTAGTGAAATACGGTATGCTTCAGTAATTTCTATTACACCACCATTAGCCACCTTTGCGCTTCGGACGCGCGGTGTCACTTTCGGAGCTCTTCTCTGTTTGCATAGAGCGGCGGCCTGATCCCCTAGATAGGAATTAGCAGCACCGCTATCCACAAGCGCTGAGAACGGTGTTTCGTAGATGTATACTAGAATATGCGGTCGGATGTCGGAAATCACACGATTCGAAAGGGAGGTTAAACGTCGGCGGGACTGAACTGACCTCGTTGCAGGACAGCGCCGATCTAGTTTTCCGAACGGGAACAGGTGCAATCTCGGGTCATGATGCCTTCTTTTCGGCATCGCGAACAGAACAGCTTTGGTGTCCCACGACATTCAGTACGGAAATGACCTGTTTCCCCACATCTCCAACATAGTTTCGTTCCTTGAGACGGTATTTGGGGAGGTGTGGGGCGGTAGCTGGGTCGTTCAAATTGTCGCTGGACTGGCCTATTAGTACCTTCGGAACACATAGGCCGTTGTCTTGTTTGGTAGGTCGACGGTTTATAATAATTCCGGGATATAGACGGACCGGTTTGCAACTCGGACAATAACAGTTCTACCTCTCGAATTAACCGCGACAGTGTCACAACATCGGTAAGCTCATTTTTGCGGATATATTGGCGGTATTCGGGTAAGAGGTTCCTGTACAACCATTGAAGTTCTTGTTCAGGCGTTATACTGCCATGCCTTCGGATTAGCGTTTGCATATCGGTGATATAATGGTGTGACGCTTCATTTGATTTCTGGAGTCGGCGGCTAATTTCGATTTCCAGATCGGCGGCATAATTAATCGGAAAATAAAAGCTGCGGAAGTCGTTCAGAAACTCAAGCCAGGTTGACCAGTGAGATTGGTTATTTCGGTACCATAGGGATGCAGCACCCTGTAAAATTTCAGGCATGTGCGGTAATAATCGGTCT